AGCAGGAGGTTCAATATTTGCATGCTCTTCTATTGTGAAAATGTAACAGTGACAGCACTGTGTCAAATTCTTTTCCCTCTAGAACTTTAACTCCATAGGAGAGGCATGGCTGACAGATGACTCCCCAACATCTGTGTTATGTACACTGCACAGCTGAGGAGCCCTGGATCACTGTCAGAACATCGTGGAGCTGACCTGCACCTTTCTTATGCCTTCTTCTTATCCCTGCCCCAACTCACAAATAAATAAATATCCATAATATAAATAGTGTAATTTTTAACAAAATATAAAGATGGCAAGACAGATTAACATAACTTATAGTCATTAGGCTGTTCACGTAGCAGCTCAACATATGTTGTATAAATGTCCTATACCGAATAATTTATCAGATCTGACACAGTGCACATCATATTGTTTTATTTAATACACTTACTAAAATTTCATGGATCAAGCATCACTTCTGAAAGCACTGAGAAAGCACTAGAAAATATTTATTCACCTCCCGTGATTTATTTTGATTACCCTTACAGCTAACATGATAAAGTGGAACTCACAAAATTGCAAGGTTAAGGTTTACACAGCCATTGCTTCATATACTAAAATATAACAAATGGCTCCGTGTCTGTGTTATATTTTACTTTCATTTAGTGTTAAGTAGAACAGTAGACTAAGCACTTAGCTGCCTACTGAATATTTTAATATTTTTAAATAGGACTTAAATATCTTGGCCCAGAGAGTGGGAGCTTAAGTAACAATTTCAGGAAAGAATAGTAAGTCCTTTGTAGGGTACTAGTTAGAAAAACACTGCCAAAAAAAAAAAAAAAAATCAAGCATGCTTCAAAGTCATCATCTCCTCAAAAGAGATCACAAAATAAGCACGGGCCCACATCAGAAAGTTAGCAAGAATTCACTGAATGCATAAAAGAACACAATACTATGCTAGGCAATACAGTGTAGAGCTGGAAGATCAAATCACGGCAAAGCACACAGCTCCCATCCAAAGGATCTCACAATTAACTCAAATAGAAAGCAAAAAAGAGAAATGTATACATTCCAAAATGAACAGGTAAAAGTAACTACAATGGCCAAAGCAAAAAAAAAAAAAAAAAAAAACCTCACTAGAGCTAATATTCAAGAGACCAAAAAAAAAAAAAAAAAAAAAAGGATGAGGGAGGGACAGATGGGGAAAGGAAGGGCAGGAAAGGAGGGAGTGGAAAAGGGAGAGATGGACAGAAGGAAGGAGAGAGGAAAAGAGAAAGGGAGGAAGGGAGGGAAATAGATTAGACGTGGCACTTGAGATTCTTCACACTTGAGATTCTTTTTCATCACTTTTCTCCTAAAATGTTTTATCTGGGGGAAGGTCTCCAAGACAAGGAAAATGAAATAAAAAGAATGGTAAAAAGATCAGCCAGGGGAGAGGAGCTGAGAGCTTCAAAAGGCAAGGTCAACAGGGCTTTTCAAAAAAAAAACAAAAACATGAATGCTTGTTGGCCTGATCATGTCTGGGAGAGCTATTAAAAACTTTATTGTATCAACTGCCTTAGGAAAGAATACTAAGCAAAAAATCTTTTGTTTCCAATAGACTATTTTGTTTAAAATGTAGTAAAAGTGAGATGAAGACAAGACAAGGAAATTATCTTTTTTAATAACTAAGTCAGGTCAGGTGTGGTGGCTCACACCTGTAATCCAAGCACTTTGGGAGGCAGAGGTGGGTGGATCGTTTGAGTACAGGAGTTCAAGAGCAGACTGGGCAACATAGCAAAACCCTGTCTCTACTAAAAATACAAAAAATTAGCCAGGTGTAGTGGCACATGCCTGTAGTCCCAGCTACTTGGGAGCCTGAGGTGCCAGGATCACCCGAGCCCAGGAGGTCAAGGCTGCAGTGAGCTGAAATTGCACCACTGCACTCCAGCTTGGGCGACAGAGTGAGACTCGGTCTCAAAAAAATAATAATAAGTTTTATGTCCATTTGTGAGTGATAAATGAGAATTGTTTCCAAGCATCTACAAAATAATAATCTTCTCACAATAAAACACTCTCAGGCACCCAAAGAAGCTCCATACGTTTCAAGGTGTAGATACTACAATCCAGAAGCAAGGCATCAGCTTCTCAAAAACTTGACCTTACCATCATATCACAGGAGAACTGACAGTCAATGAGATACTTCGTGTGGAGTAAAGAAACCACAAAGCCATGTAATATTGTATTGCAAGTGAGGCAGCAGAGTGACTTTAGATGAATAACAGGTTATTGTAAAAATACTGAAGGTTCTATCATACTGCACCCTCAGAAAGGAACGATAAAGACGATGAAGTCAAATAGAGTTCAATATCAAAAACAGTAAAGCTCCAATCTCCCAAAAGAAAAGAACTAAAACTAGGAAAATAATCTTGCTCAGTTTAATGCATGGTGATGATGGTACCTGGAAAATCCTAAGTACAGAATAATTTAACCCTTACAGCTTTATGTCTGAGCAACAAAACCACTATAGCCATAATGCAGGGTTTCTATGAAAGTGAGTGCCAGCATTAACAGATAGCCTTAAGAGTTGGGATGGTGGTAGAGAGGTTACGTATCAAAAAATTCAGTAAGAGGACACTGAGAGCACTGAAGAAAAGAACGAGTTTGAGCGTTGCAAATTCTTGCTGGGACCCCTATCATCACCATCACTCTGGCATTTTATTTCTAAACAAGAAATATATTTTACCTTTCTGAGATTATTTTCTGGTTACAAGTCAACCATTATGAACCTTTCAGTGAATCACTGAATAGGGCACTTAAAGGGATAAACAATTATAAAAATAACTCTGTCACAGGCGCATACATTTTATTTTATTTAGTGATGTAATAAGCTTAGGGGCATATATCAGGTCCAAAATGGTCTTGGTCATTAATTTAAGTAATAAATCATAGGTCTTGCCAACAATGACGGCAAACAGATGCTAACAAGGAAATGTATTATTTAATATTGCCATGTGTTATAAAAATGTAAGTGTGTTTAAGACATGTCTTAAATTTTTATAATAATATGCATTTAATACATTACTGTTTTGACACACACAGGAATCAGATTTATAGGGCCCATTCCATAGCCTCTTCTTCTGTGAACCTGAGAGCATATTCTGGGTTGTTTTTCTTGTTTTTTTTTTTTTTTTTTTTTTAAAGAGGGGGAACCTGCAAAGTGCATGTTTGCAACTATCTAATTGGTTGTCTTGCTGTTTTGCAGTAAATAATGTCAGTATTGAAACTCATTAAAAAGAATGAATCTATGCACTTTGCCTGAATTTGAAAATAGAACATCTAAAAATTATAATTTTTAAAGAAACATTATAGCCTAAGAAATATATAAGAACATATTTTATATTAAGTTGGCAACTAATTTTTTTTACATTCATTTTGAACTGCTCTGCATGATACCAGGCAAAAACTACTTAATTAACAAGTTTACAAGTAAAGGTCAATATTCAAAAATTTGGAAGTAACTGAGAAAAACTCCACGATATATCTTCATGCAGAAATTCTAAGAATCAAACAGTAGTATATCAAAACACAAAGTAACTTAAAATGGAGTCTTTCTATCCATAAATTTGGCACATTATGCCAAACCATAATATTCCCCATCTAATATTTCCTTTTAGAGCAGTAGATTTCTATTCCTTTGCCAACAGGTCAAATCCTCCTAGGGAGAGGGCTTGTGAGAAAAGGGAATTAGGGGCTAAAAAATTAATCCAAAACCTCTTTTAAAAAAAAAATGAGCTTTTTTTTTTTTTCACATCAACAAGATACTAACTCCACTAAACGTATTTTTTGTTAGTAATTATTTTGTTTGAGTTTCCTTTTCAATCAACTCTCCTAGCTGCCAGCATGGTCTTCCCCCTTTTTTATTGTACGCAAGGAGTTCATTCTTTAGAACACTTGAGGAAGCAGTGCTCGGAGTATGGAAACTAAATTTTCTTCATTAAATCTACTGAGGCAGATATTAAAAATGCATTTAATATACTGGCAATGGTCGGTGGGCACCGCTGACTGTGACAGGCCAGTTACTGATGATGTGCCGTCAGATGGCCTTCTCAGCAGGCGTCTGGGTCTCAGGCTGCTGAAGGACAGCAATATCTTCCCCTGTGTGTAAGCTCTATTCATCTCCCAAGTATTTACTAAATCACAGGCCTCTGCACACAGAGCCCACGTTTTCAGCGTATGCTAACAAATGATGGATGGCCTCGTCAATTCGTTATGTCCTGAAAGCATGGTTTCCTGCCATTCCAATCATCAAACCTCAGCGCTTCAGAGCTGATCAGTCCCAGGGAATATATTTTGCAGGCTCCATTAAAAGAGTAGAAGTTCTTTCCATTACAGTCCCTGGTACTCTCCTCAACTATTTGTTGTTTCAACCAATTATTTGGGCAGAATATTCAATAGGTGTTCAGGTACTATAACATGGGCAGGCTTTTTCCTGATATTCATCAAGGTGTAATTTCTTTTATGACAAATCAGTGGAGGTACCTGAACATAAAATATTTGATAGAGAAATTCATGTTTTAAAACAATTTTCCTTCTAGATACCATAGGCAAAATCTTAAAAATATTGTATATCATCATATTATATTTATTATGTTATATTATATGATAATGTAAGTGTATTAGCCAATGCACTTCAAAGGAACTTCCAAGGCAATAGCCATTCTGTAAATCATCTAATGCTTTTAAGACAATAATTCACACACATTCTCTTAATTATAATCTAGACAAAGGCACAAACTGCTTAAAAATTCTCCTGACAGTTCCAAAGTTAGATGACAAAAGTTCAACTTGTCAAAGAAAAAATATTCTTAAAAGAACATTTATTTTCAGTTCCAAGGTTATATATGTCAGTCGTCTTTTCCATAAGCCATAAGAACATTTTTTTCTCTATAGCTTATCTATGGAACAGAAAATAAATAAGAGCACAGTCATACCCTTTACTCAGAAACAGTAAACTTCATAAAAACACATGAACTTACCACAACTAAACAGAAAGCTGAGCTTTGAGGAAATGGGGTGGTATTAAAGAGCCAAACAACTGCTATAAATAAGCTTCTTGAAATGCTAAAAAAAAAAAAATTGTTTTAAGTGCCGGACTCCCATTTAGCCAATAGCCACATAGGCACCAATACACCTCCAGTCAGTGAAAGTCCCACCACATTGTCCTGCCATTCACCTCAACCTTAACCTCAAGATTAAGCTCATTCTTATTGCGCACAAAGGTCATCTGTATTAGGTCAAAATTCAAAGTCCCTTGTCAGAAAAGGTTGATATATTCCAACCTTTCCTTCTCCATGCATCAAATTTTTCATGGTAAAGTCATATTCAGCAGACAGTATATTCAGCAATTTATTGTGCCATTGTAATACAGTGCAGAATACAATCGTCCAAAAAGCTATCACATGAATAAAATATTTTTCATGACTCTGAACCAAATCTAGACTCCTTACACACCTCTAACGGAGGAAATAACACTAACCAAGTCTTGTTTCCATGCTTCAGAATAGTTTGGCAAATAATTGTCCCTAAAATACAATCTATAGCATAATTATGTTTTTGCTTCCATAGGCTTTGGGAATAGGCAACTTTTTTTCAAAGCGTCACTGAAATTTTTAAGTGTTTTTTTTCTTTAATGCAAAAACATCTCACTTGTTTTAATACTTTTATTCAAATCTGGCCTAAGCAGTTTAACTGAAGTAGGTCTAAACCTGAAACCCTCTCTTTGATCTAGAACCTAGAGGAAGATAGGCTCTATGATACAATGAAAACTAAAGGAGAAAAATTACTGTCTTGCCCAATTCATTACTATTACAATTATGTGATCAGCAGAACTGCAAAAATAAGATAAATTACAGGAAAGATTTGAGGGCACCATTCTAGAATACATCGTAATTAGTAAAACCCAAAGCCTTAAGGAATAATCAATCTATTATCTTTAAAGCGTGTATGCAACTCCTTTATGTTTACCACAAGGACTTTTCATAATCAGTATATTAGTTATGATGAATGGCTTCAAGATCATTTTAAAAACTCTCATTCTTCAAATGTGATTAATACCTATATTGAACACTAAAATCAGTGTTCACACTGACGTCATGATCTAGGGCATCCTATAAAATCTCCATGCCCTGTAAGACTTACACCTGAACTTACATATTTATTGGAGTCAAGCTACTTCCTGATAGAGCAGAGCCCTGACTCTAAAACTGGTACTCACTCAAATATCTTTCATAAATGCATAAACCCCTTCTTACCAAGTTGAGACAAAAAAGTGAAAGAGCTTCCAGATATGAGTGGTTGCATTTGAAAAAAACAAGTAGATAAGAAAATACGTGGAAGGGGGTGGTTTTAGGCAAAATATTTTCAGTTCTAATATTCTGAGTCTAACTATCATATCCATAAATACCACTGCAACAAGCAACCATGAATAAGTAATGGTACCAATAATATAACAGCAGTAGCAACCAGTGTAGTATCAGGAACCATGCTAATCATTTTACATGTACTATCTTACTTCAAATTCAGAACAATTCCATTTTATAAATGAGGACTCTAAGGCACCAAAAAGTGAAGAAACTTACCAATTAGGTATCTTCCCTCCGTTTTTTTTTTTTTTTTATTGGAATAACTGCCAAATGAAAATGTAACATCTGAGCTTGAATTTTTCTAAAAATAACGTCTGACATGATAAATCCTCGGGTGTACCACTAGAGCATTTCTAAATTCGTAAGAAAGTAAAGAATCACTGTAATGTCCCTAAACTTCACTAATTTATCAATTTTAAAAGGGACTCATTTTTCTAAATGAGACATGTATACATGGCTTTAAAAAAAAAAAATCAAGCAGCATTCTTTAGGCAAGTTCAATCAAATGTCCATTATGAATGTACCATAATACTTACAATATACTAGGTACTCCTAAGGCCCAAGACTAGAATTGCAGTTCCCATGCTAGCTACGGTAACGGAAAAATAAGGAGAAAGCCCAACAATCACAAAGATCTTATAAGAATGAATGAGTTACACATGGTAGTAGTGTGAGCCTCTTTCAGAGAAAAGGCTACAAAAATCAGAACAAATGGGGTTTAAAAACTTCTATAAAAGACATCCCTTGGAGCCATAATGTACAAAAGTCTCAGACCGGTGACAGAATGCAGTGGTGTGTGAGGTTTAACAATTGCCTTTGGTAGTGAGAGGTGGTGGGGCTGGAAAAGAGGGAAGCCCTGGTTGTACCATTTGCCAATTTCTGTGGTGTAAACACTCCCACTGTGGATGAATTTTAAGCTACCAATATGAGGTCGCGGTTTGTAGAGTCTGGAAAAGATGCTCACAATCAGCTCTCATGAGCTGGAAAGAGCACCAGCATCCATTGGCTGTAGGCCAAATTCAGCCCACAGACTTGTTCTGTTTGGCCAGGAAAATGTTGGCCCACACAGTGCTTTAAAAATTCAAACAAATTGACAACATTTAAAACTCAGGATATTTTATTTTTTCTTAAAAAAAAAAAAAAGAATCAGATCTAGAGCTGCTTTCTAAAGAGTAGAAGGCCTGGCAGCACGAGGCCCACATTCCTGCATGGCACTGGATGGCTGGCATAAAGTGGCCGCTGCCTTGTCGGTACACATAACTGTACTTTCGCCTAGCTGCAATCCCAACCAGGTCAGCTTCATTTATTCACTTGTTATTGATACTTGTCTGGCCCCTAGAGGGATGGGAGTCTGTGATCTCTAATTTAAAAGCATGAATGGACAGTTTTGCATCCAGATGTGGAACTTTGGTCAAATCACTGGGTAGGACTCCTCCCTCAGTTTCTGCACCTGCAACATTAACAGATTTGACCAAACTTATCTCTAATCGCGATCTCGATCCAACACTGGCGTGCTTTGCAAGTCACTGAATCTGAACAATAAGAGAGGTATGCAGGTCCCTCCCGAGTAGCTTTTATGATCTGCATGTAGAGAGTTCCAAATGCGCCCACCAACATGCAAATAAAAAATTGAACATGTTATAAACTTGAGGTTAAATGTATTTTTATCTTTATATATTTTAGTTGTCCTCAGAAAATGAGAATCTAGATAATTTTAACTTTATCCATTAGGAAACAGCTATTTGTTACATACAGGTTGTTACATACAGGCTGGAAGAGTCTGTGGACTTTTTAACATTATACAAGGAAGAGTCTGCCTCATATTCCCAGTCCATTTACCACCTTAGCTAAATGGGGCTCGAAGTGTAAGTTAATTTCAAATTTTATTAGCTTTCCCTACCAATATTATCAGCAAAAACAAATAGCAGTGTAATATACCTTAAGTAAAGGATATCAGCTTGAGAGAACTGTAGACAGAAACAATATTTTTTTTAAAAAGTGCCTGTCTAACTTCATGTGTAAATGTAGAAGACACATTCAAATGACTCTTCAGCTCCCAGATCTCAACCACAAAAGAAGCCACTTACAAGTGTCCTATACACACCACATCATAAGCTACAGAATCATAGGAAGATAAGGTGTGTCACAGGCATGAATGTTCAACCACAAAATCTTCACCCTGCATCTCTATTCATCCTAAAACATTCCTAGATGAAACAAAGTTCTATTTGAGAATAATCATAAGTATCTATGACAGACACTGATTCATAAATGTGCTAAGTGTAAATCTGGATCATTCATACTAGGCTGAGCTGAGGATGTACAAGTCAGTTTGCTGGTAAGTGAGTTTAGCCAACACCAGCATCCCAAAGTTGAGTAGACCTTTCCCATCCTATATAGTGCTAACTGCAAACCTGGGGATTTTCAATAGTCTTAAATGATGAACCATGTAAATATCAACGTCTGCTATGCCTCCTATTTCATATAATAGAATAAACACAAGTTCAGAGTTTATGTCTCATCCTTTTTTGTTCCTGGAACAAATGACAAGTCTTAACTAACAGTGACTGAAAAATAATTAAAAATAGATATATGTTGGGGGAGGGGGGCAGTGATGATATACCAGGTATTTTAAGTCTTAGTCTTCGATTTGACTACTACTTCCAGGACAACCTCAGAAAAAGACTGGGCTTCACACAGAATTGCCTCAATAAGCAGGGGCCGGTGTTTGGTCAGGGAAAGACCTAGTACTTATATATTTCATTGAACAGCTATATGAAGAGATATGGACCTACCTTACTTTTTTCCTCTACTTGAATTGCTTTGTTTCAAAATATTTATTCTCATAGTCTTGAAGTTATTGCTTTAAGTATAATAGCTTTAAACATTTTTTAGCAACTGAATCTTAGTATTTCAAACACATAAAAGAAACAGGTCCTGAGAAAATTTAACATTTTACTTTGGATGAAAAACTGCAGAGCCCTCGTTATCTCAATGAGATCCCAGCTACTTAGGAGGTCACAGGTTGAACACCACAGTAGGTTAAAAAAACAAACAAACTTTTACTTGCTGTCAGGAAGCCAGAATGAATAGAAAAGATCACCCTTCAGCCAAGAGACGTAACTTGAAAATGGCAAGACATGTCGCTGTTCCTTGGCATGAAAGAAGCTTTGGCTTATGAGGAAGGACTACTGACTCTTCACTATATGTTTCATGAAAGGGTAGGGATGGGAAGAGAGGAGAGAAAAGGTAAAGCACGTATTAGTTCCTCAAAGTGGCTAGAACAGGGTTGGCTTTGTGATCAGCATGTACCATCTTTCATACGTGGGTCACGGATTGGTCTACTCTAGCTTCAAACCCATGGACCAAACAATCCAGGATCTAGCTGTGTTCTGTTCCCCTAAGAAATGGAGAACTGTCATTCAGTTAGGAGTTTCACCCTAGCTGCTTAAATGTCTCCGCTGTATATACAGCTCACTGTTTGAGCAACTTGACAGCAGAATGAAGAAAGGAGAAACGTATCTTCAAGCATACATTTGAAAACATCTCCCTTCCATAAAAGACAATTGAAAATAACGAAACATTTACTCTTTACCTATATTCTATATGATCTTTATGCCAGCACATGACTTCATACATTAAGGTCACTTTTCAGATTTAATCT